CACTCCTTCATTTTCGCCTCTGCTCTTTGATGAGCATCTGTCTGCCCTAAAGTGGCACTTTGATCCTTCACCAGACCTAACAGGACACCTCCCAACTGCTGCCCAGAGCCCGGGATGGTCTGGGGTAGCACAGGCTCATCGCCGTTAACTTCGCCCTCGGTCCCCTGGCAGACACAGACGAGTAAACAGAAGGAGCTTCCCACAGGGTTTATGCAGAGAAGCCAGGGGGAGCCTCCGGAGAAAGCCTTCTGCACAAGAGAGCATAAGTTCTCTGAATGCAAAGCTCCGCTTGCAAAAAGCAACCCCAACGTCTGATAACCTCACATCCTTCCCATTGCGAGAGGCTCCCTTTCCCCGTGGCACAAAATCCAGGTTCTTGAGACCTGTCGTCTAATCCAGATGTGGCCTTGATCCGCCAACGGTGAAAATCAAAGGGTGAAAATCCCTGATCGTGCAGAGCTGGCCCCTCGGAGATCCGCATTAGAAGCTGCACAAATGGGAAACCATAAAACCCAACACACCCCTTTCATAGGAGACCCGTTTGGGGGGTTTTGGGGGTTTTTGTTTTGTTTTGTTTTTCAAACAGCTGCAAGCACAGTGAATGTTGACAAACGAAGAAACTGAGGCCAGGGGAGGTCAGGTCATCAGTTAGAGGTGCAGAGTTGGAAGTAGTGAAGTGGCTCCGCTGGGGGAAATGAGGTTTCTTCCCCTCCTCTAAAGAATCTGAAAGAGGGGATCCCTGGGTGGCACAGCGGTTTGGCGCCTGCCTTTGGCCCAGGGCGCGATCCTGGAGACCCCAGATCGAGTCCCACATCGGGCTCCCGGTGCATGGGGCCTGCTTCTCCCTCTGCCTATGTCTCTGCCTCTCTCTCTCTCTCTCTCTCTCTCTGTGTGTGTGTGACTATCAAAAATAAATTTAAAAATTTAAAAAAAAAAGAATCTGAAAGAAATGAGAGATGAGGCTCTGTGGAGTTAGTGGGTAGCTCGAAGGAGAGGAATGGGAAAAATCTAAAAGAAGGAGAGGCGGAAAGACAAGGGGAGAAGGGAAGGGAATGCACGCACGTGTAAGCGACGTTGCTGGCAGCCGTGCGCAGGGAGGGTCGGACCCGTGGCCCCGGTTGGGAAGCCAGGAGCAAGGCAGCACAATGACTCAGGAAGGGTTCTGTGGTCGTGACGGCAGGAAGGGAGTAGGCGCGGGGGGCGCAGAGGCTCGGCCGCCGCTGGAGATGGGGCTCTCTCCGTGACCACCCCCGAAGGCCCGAAATCCATGGTGACGGGAGGCCCCGGGGAGGATCTAGGGAAGACGGATTGGAAGGCAAACCTCGGCACGGCCCACGTCCGTGGAGCTGTGACCCGTGGGAATGGCCCATTCTGCAGACGCAGCGAGAGGGCAGAGGCCGCCCGAAGAGGCCAGGTGGGGCCGAGGTGGCCGCCCAGCCCCGCGTCCTTCCTGACACCTCCCAGGCGGCCCCGCCGCAGGGACCACCCTCGGCTGAGAAGCGGTCTCCCAGCAGCTCCCACTGGAGGCCCGAGCGGTCCAAGGCAGTGTCGCCCGGAAACGCGCCCACAGGCCGTGTTTTAAAGCCTCTGTCTCTTCTTTCTCTGCTAGCATCTCCCCCATGAAAAGGGAGGGAAAAGAAAAAAAAACACTCCAGCACCCTCCTGCCTCCCTGCCTCCTCCACAGGAGGTATGGTGACCAGCTTCCCCTGGCCTGGTGTCCCCGCCGCCCTCCGAGCCCCACCGCCGGCCTGCGTGGCCCCTGGCGGGCCCTTCCCGCACCTCCCAGGTGCTAGGTGCAGCCAGTGTCTTGGGAAAAGTGGCTCAAGGAGGGCAGCTCCCAAGTCCTTTTGGTAACAAAAATATGAAACCGTCGAAAAAGAAAAAAGGAAGAAAGTCTCATTTCTATCGTAGTGTAGAGAGTAAAACCCACTTTTGCTAAAAAAAAGAAATTCTTGAAATGATTGATCAAAATTCTTAGAGCTGGGAATACTTTTTTTTTTTTTAATATGAACACAATCCGCTTCATCCGGCTGTCGTTGTAGAGTCAAAACTAGCCCAGGGCGCCTGGGGGGCTCAGTCAGTTAAGCCTGAGACTGGGGGGGGGGGTGTCGCAGATCGAGCCCCATGTCAGGCCCCCTGCTCAGCGGGGAGCCTGCTTCTCCCTCTCCTGCTCCCCCGGCTTGTGCGCACTCTCCCTCCCTCTCTCTGTCAAATAAATAAGTAAAATCTTAAAAAAAACAAAAAAAAAAAAAAAACAAAAAAAAAAGCTCTCCCCAGCCTTGCCCATCTCTAGATCGCGGGGTGCTGTGGAGGAGCATCTGCGGCTCGGCCCGGCCGGCCCCGGCTCACGTGCGGCGGGAAGAGCTGGCCCCGCTCGCGCCGTCATTGTCCCCCGAATGTGCATTGTCTGTCTTCCCCACTTTTCTGGCCACACCGTCATTGGTATGTCTCGGCTTGGCCCAGGGGGCGGACTTGGTTACATATGGTCCCCATGCTTTGAGGAAGGCACGAGAAGAGACGAAGAGGAGGCGCGGGAGGAAGGGATGGGGCAGGAAGGGACCTGGAGCGAGGAAAGCGGCAGGCATGTGACCGTGGGCCCGCGTGGGGGACCCTGGCCACCGCCGCCCAGGAAGCGGCCTTCTGGGGATGCTGCGGGCACAGGGTCAAGGGGCTCTATCTGCCGTGGCTGGGACTTGGGCAGAGCCCTGGAAAAATAGGCCTGACCCAAGTGGCCAATTAAACTTTCCATTGGCAGAGATTGCACTAGGAGTCTTTAAAAAAAAAAAAAAAAGTGAAATCTTTCCATTTGAGTAGTTTGTTTTTTAATGAAAGGAAACATTTCCTGACATAAGCGCCACAGAGCAACAGGAGGGTGATTAATTAAACTCCGCGGTGCCACTTCGGACAGTCTCTGCGCCAGAATAAAGCATTAGAAGGGGCTTGGGGGGGGTGGGGAACGCCTTCCAGGAGGGCCTGGCGGGTCTCCTGAGGTGCAGGCCTTGTGCCTCGTCTTTCCTCCTTGTCCCTACAGGCTCCTGGGGGCGGGGGGGGGGGGGGGAGACAGGACCAGGGAGGTTCCCGCCTCTGAGATGGGAGCCAAGGACTGTAGGACCCAAAGCAAAGGCTCTAGGGAACGCCGGTCCTCACGCACCTCCCGGCCCCTCCGGGCTGGCAGCTACAGGCCACGCTCAGGCCGCAGCCCAAACTCGGGCCCGGATGTGCTTCAGGACCAGGCCTTCTGTAGACAGCACCGTAGGGCGCATGGGCCGGTTAGCACGACGTCCTAGGAGGGCCCGAGGCCACGCTCCATACTCCGATACCTTCTCACTGCCATAGCAGTTTGTACGAACAAATAAAAACAGTAAACAGCCTCCAGTTTTGTGGCCAAGTGACGCCCGTTCAGGTCAGTTGTGCGGCCAGGTGAGTCACCACAACTGCCCTGAGCTTGTTGGATTTAGGGATCGTGGATAAGGATGCGCTGGGCCCTGTCCCTCACCCGGTGTGTCCAGGGCACCGCAGGACATTCTGCTGGCAGCACCACGCTCTGCCCCTTGCCTCCAGCTCCCCGCCCCATCCTGGGTTTTCGAAATGAGTTTTCAGCGGTTGGTGGAGGATTTAAGGTAACCAGCCACAGAGCTGACCCAGCACCCGACTGAGGAGGGTCCCAGCGAAGCCCGGCATCGCGTCGAGGCAGGGGGCCCTCACCGGGTCATTAAACCTCTCTCACTAAAACTAAGGGTCCCTCCCAAATGTGAGCAAAGCTGATGTTAGAATAATTCCATCGAAGGCCTCCTCCAGCAGCAGGGATGATACATGGATTTTATCCCAAGAAGTTTCACTGGCCGAGAACAAACAAGCATCCTGAAAGCGCTCGAGCAAGCATGTGACCGACGGGGCCGTGGCCGGTCCAGACAGGAGCCAGGACAAGCCCCGTTCCAAAAGCAACAACAGAGAGAAGGGCCACAGACCCCAGAAGTCAGGTCAGGGTTGCGCCGCGGGCCTCACGGGAGCTGCTGCGTGCATACGCTGGGTCCCCTGCTTTTATCTCTGAGACCCAGGGGAGGAAATCTAGGTTTCTGTGTGGCTTGAAATCAGGCCCTTGATTTTGTAAATGAAGCAGGTTCAGCAGTTGGGGAGGATTCCAGATTACAAGCCTGGGGCCAAGCAGCAGCCAAAACACACAAGTGCTTGGCGGGCAGTGGCAGGATGTGACACGGCAGGGGGGGGAAAGGGAGGGTGAGGAGGACAGGAGCGTGTCCGGCAGTGACCGGAGGAGGGGCCAGGCTTGGCCTCAGCCCACCTAGCTGGTCCCTGCGCTTCCTGCTCCGTCCATCTCCCCCAGCATCTCCTGTTGGGGCTGCGCGGCCTGGGGTTTCACCAGCAGGTCTCAGACGACAGATGGCCTGTCCAAGGCGGGCGGTGAGCACAGCCGCGGAGGCGCCCCGGCTCCTGTCAGAGTCCCCAAACCGCAGGGCACCGCAGGGTCACTGGGCCAGACGGTCCTGCCGTGATGACACGATGGCAGGTCTCGGCCGGCAGGACACCCAAAGCTGGCCCAGGCGTAAGCAGAACCATTTTACGAAGTCCATAGATGGAGCTTATAGATGCTGTAAACAAGGGACAGTATAGCTTTCATTCCACCGATTTCTTTTCTTTTTTTCTGTCTGCCTCATTCACCGTTTTTGATCAGTTTAATTAAATCAAAATTTACAGGGGCCCCTGGGTGGCTCAGTGGTTAAGTGTCTGCCTTGGGCTCAGGGAGTGACCCCAGGGTCCCAGGATCGAGTCCCGCGTCGGGCTCCCTGCATGGAGCCTGCTTCTCCCTCTGCCTGTGTCTCTGCCTCTCTCTCTGTGTTTCTCATGAATAAATAAATAAGAACTTTAAGAATGCATAATGCACACGGCAGAGATCCTGTGCAGCCCCTCGCAGGCGCCCCCGAGGGGCAGGCTGAGGCCGGGGAGCGCGCCCAGCTCACGCACGCCCTGCCGTGTCTTGCAGGCATGAACAACCGCGAGGTGCTGGAGCAGGTGGAGCGCGGCTACAGGATGCCCTGCCCGCAGGACTGCCCCATCTCCCTCCACGAGCTCATGATCCACTGCTGGAAGAAGGACCCCGAGGAACGGCCCACCTTCGAGTACTTGCAGGGCTTCCTGGAAGACTACTTCACGGCCACGGAGCCCCAGTACCAGCCCGGCGAGAACCTGTGAGCCCGGGTCTGCAGGCTTCCCCCCCCCCCATTAGCTTTCAGTTCTGTAGCCGCAGCTGCTCGAGCAGTGAGAGCCGTCCTGGACCAGATTGCATGTGACTCCGAAGCTGACGAACTTCCGCGGCCCTCACTCATGACACTTGTCCCCAAATCCGAACCTCCTCTGTGAAGCATACGAGACAGAACCTTGTTATTTCTCAGACTTTGGAAAATTGCATTGTATCGATGTTTATGTAAAAGGCCAAACCTCTGTTCAGTGTAAATAGTTAACTCCAGTGCCAACGATCCTAGTGCTTTCCTTTTTTTAAAATGCGAATCCTATGTGATTTTAACTGTCTTCACCTGATTCAACTAAAAAAAAAAAAAAAAAGGTATTATTTTCCAAAAGTGGCCTCTTTGTCTAAAACAATAAAATTTTTTTTCATGTTTTAACAAAAACCAATCAGGACAGGTGTTTGGGTTTTTTTTTTCTTTTTTACAAAAAAAAATATATATATATACTATCTATGTCCCTGTACATACACCATGTGGGTGCTAACGTGGAGACCATGGCCAACCTGGGCCATAAAGCCTCGGGGACCCAGAGTGAGGATTTTACTGCCAAATCAGCATAAAAGCACTGGTGTTATTCTGCAAACCAGTGGCCTCCTTTTTGGCTTTTGCAAAGCATGATCCCTTTTTTTTTTCTCTCTCTCTCTTCTTAATTTGGATTGCACTTTTTTGGTTCATGATTGTACCTATAGATGGCTGTTACTTTGACTCTTTTCCGCAGCCGCAGAGCTGAATTCACAAGTTCTGTTTCCAGTATTTGCTTTGACTTCCTGCGATTCGTTCTTGAAACCTAAAAGTATACTTAAGCAAGCAAATGGCCAATACTACCAGGGGAACTGGAAGATGGATACCACACATGCTTCTTGTATAAAGATATGAATGCTGAAATGTTTCAACCTTTTTTTAATTTAATAAACCTTGTAACCACATTTAAATGGTCTAAAACCCATAGCATTAGAGTCATGGCAACCTGCTAAACTTTCTCATGCAACTAAAACTTTATGAGGGTGGGGGTTGTACATTTCCCATTGTAAAATAAGTGTTTTAAACGTCCTGTACTGCTAATGAAATGACTTTCTATATGTCCAAGAAGTCTCCAGTGGAATAACTATGCACTACTTTACATTTCATGGGGATGCACCAAAAAAGAAAAAAAAAAAAGAAAAAAAAGTATTACATTTTTAGTTGCTGTTTGTACCAACCTTGAATTACATGTTTAACAACAACAAATCAAAAAAAGCCTATTTCTATTAAGTTTTTAATACTGGGTAGCAACTCTGAAATCTTAATTCCTTTTTTGTTATGATTTATTTGTGAGTTTACATTTTTAAATTGTTTAACTTTCTTAATTTAGTAATTAAAAAGAGAGCATTTTACATTTGAATTTTTTTTGTTCATTTGTTTAAATCATGGAAGGTACTCCAGTGGTGACATATCTGTCCCACACCAGGTGATAAGGAATCCTCTGGTGAATTTAACCATCGTGCAGTGATTTCCAAATGACAGAAACACTCAGAACACCAGGACTGGGGTTCCCTCCCCCACGCCCCCGCCCCCCCCCCGCCCCTAGAAAGGCTAGGCTGTTGTTGAGCTATTTCAGAGGATCATTAAAGCAAGATTAAGCATCCTTTAACATTTTAATTTATCAGACATTGTCTCTAACTGGAACATCCTGTATCCTACCTGTAGAAGGGCAATTACAAAAAGACTTTGTTGCCCTAGAATCAGTATATGTACTTCCCGTGGTCCTCTACCTCCGTAACCAGGGAAACAACCCGGTGGTAGTAGGGGCCGGGGGTGGACTGCTCCAGCTGTCCGGGCCTGGCTGCACACGCATGCAGCTGCGGGACCTTGGAGCCATCTGGCGCCTCTGTTTTAGGTCCTGTCTATGGAAATGAGGGGGTCAGATGAGATTTGCTGTAGGTTCCCACGGATCTAAGATCCTGTGATTCGGAGATCGCTGCCGTCAGGTGGAGTTCCACAGCAGGAGAGTTTTCTTGCTGAAACAACCTTTATACTTAGAAAGGGTTCCCAACATAAAAAAAAAAAAAAAAAAAAAAAAAAAAAAACATGAAACAAAGGGATTTTCTGGTTAGCCAAGTCTTTCTGGTATGGTTTTTGGTATTAATGAGATTGCTAAATTGATTTAAAAAAAATTTCAAAGATCTTCTACAATTACTATGACATTACTGGGCAATTTATTAACGTGTTTGAGATATTTTTAAAGATAACTTTTTCATCTTCACATCCCACTCGGATAATTTGCAAACATTCTCTGGAGGGTTGTTGTTTGTGTTTTTGACTGGGTCATTCAAAGAAATCTGAAAACGTTATAACTTGCTTTAGACAGAGATTCTTTAAGAGAAAATTTTGGTTTCTTCAAGCCAAAGCATAGCCTTTGATTCATCAGCTGCGTTTGTTGTGGAGTCTGTCCTGTGAAGCAGAGCTAAGGGCTTGGGGAACCCGAGGGCGCCCGGAAAAGGCGGCGCGGGCACCGCTCTGAGAGCCGGCGGGGAGGCGCGGGGAAGGCAGAGCCCGTGCTGCCCGGAGATGGTCCCGAGGTCGGCCAGCCCAGGCCAACGAAGACCGCTCCCGGGGTTCCCAACACCGCCCAAGAAGCTCTCTCCCTCCCAAGCTGCAGGAATTTGGAGCCAGGAAACTGAATTCACCAGAAAGATGTCTTGTTAGGAACGAGGAACACGGGCACCCCCAGGGACAGAGCAGGTCCCAGCGCAGACCACCCCGGCAGAGCAACTATCTCAACAGAGCAAGTTCATGAATGTTTCGGTTTCCCGGTGCACGTGAAGCCTCTGCTTACACTGTCCCGTAGTTTCGTAAGTGTGCAAGAGCGTGTCCGAAAAAAAATACATACACTTACCTTAAAAATATTACTTACAAAGTGCTAATTCTCATCTGAACTTCCAGGGAGCTGCAAGAACCGATCCCAGCTCATCATAACCAATAGGATAATGAAACGTTGCGAGAATTCGCAATGTGACAGGGACACGTGAAGTGAGCGACGCGTGTCGGAGAGGGGGCGCCGACAGACTCCGCTCCGCACAGGGTGCCGCAGCCCTCAGTGTGCAAAAACGACGTGCAGCGAAGCACGCCAGGAGGCGGCACGCCCGGGTCTTGCAAGGTGCCTTAGCAGCAGGTGTCGCTGAATCGCTTGGGGTCTCCAGGTGCCCGGGAGTGAGTGAGTACACCCCCTGCTGCCCCGGGGGAGCAGGCGCCTTGCCAGGGCGCTGGGAGCTACACGATTCTTTCCATTATTAACTATTAATCTTGATCAACTGTTAATCAAATCACAGAGCTACCGGAGGACCATCTGACGAAGCTGACACTTGGCCAATGCGCCGACGTGATTCCCATGCACCTGTGCTCACCCCCTCTGGGGCCCTGGTTCAGGGCCCTGGGAGGCCGGGAGGACCAGCGAGCTGGGGGTGGGGAGCCTTGTGTGGGGGTGTCGGGGTGTAGACCAAAGCTAATGATGCATTTGGCTCTGACTTGGTTCGTGGCAAAGAAGGGGCTGTGGGGAAGCCAGACATTCCCCCCAGAAAGCTCGGGGTGCTCCTAGGCCCTCAAGTACAGCCACGCGACCGCCGGTTTTCTGACAAGCGCTAGAGGGTGTTTACCTGCCCTGAGAAGGACAAGAGTCCTCCGTGGCTAAATCTTGGCCCCAGAGGGTCTCTAGCTGGGAAACTTCAGCCGAGGTCTCCTGTGGGACCTGCGCTGACTGTTCTTCTGCAGCCTGGACAGGAGGTGAGGTTCTCAGCAGCACGCAGAGGGGCGCCGCCTGTGCCAGCTCCAAGGGACAAGGGACCTCCCTTGACAGAACTCGCGTTGCCCAACCAGTTACACTTGCATAAAATGGTCATTGGGCAGTTTGTTCCTGAAATGTATTTTAATCGGTTTAGGTGGCTTTGGTTGGCTTCTCTACCACTAGGTGCTGTACCATGGGGCTTCGGTTAGGCTGCCCCAAATATCTGCTGGGAGGAAGTGGGGGCGGGGGGAGGAAAGAAGACAATAACCTGGAGGTACAGGGCAAGGAACTAAAAAATGTCTTATTCTACAAATGACACTGTGGGGCGCAGATTTACCAAACGAGGCCCAGTAACACACGTTTATTCATTTCTCCAAAATGATGACAACTACAGAGCAGAAAATAAGGAAACATTAGCATCTTTGATACCTTTGAAATATCAAACAGACCTTCCCAATTTGTAACATACCTCCATTCCCAGAAACTTTTCAGAGTACATTCCTAAATCATGCATTTTTTTTTCAAACACACAGAATATCCATGATCCCCTAGGGGGGCAGGGGGAGCCAGGCCTCTATTTTTAAAATTCTAGGGACTGAAATTAAGTGTTTTCCCAGCTTGGCAGGGATTATTCTAAGGAGAAGGTGATCCCACCAGGGGCAGAGTACCCTGCTCCTCTCTGGAATACTTGCTACTCTTCTAATACCGGGTTTGCCAATATGACTCTTTTTTGACTGCATCTCCCCTGCCGGACCGCGAGCGCCTCGGGAACTTAAGTGCCTAACTGGCTCGCCATCGTTCTCCCGGCACCGAGAGCAATGGTGAGCTGCTGTGCGAGGTTGGACGGAACGGTGGTGGCTCCATGGGTGATGGCTTCAGGTGTGGCAAACGGTTGACCTGCAAATGACACAGTGACCTAGGCCCCGGGCCGAGCATCCTGGGAGGCATAGCCCTGCTCCCTTGCAAATGTGTGGTCACCAGTGAGCAATATATGACTCAAAGTCCCAGTAACCCCATGAGTGCTTCCCAAAATTTTGCCCAGAGCTCACCCCAACACTAATGGGAATAAGCTTGTACGCCCTGGGACCTGGGGCCTTCAAGGTCACATTCTAACTTTGTCCTTTTGTGAAAATTTGATATTCTCCCTACGATATCCATTCCTTATCTTCACATAAAATTATCTTTCCAGGCCTTCAGGTGGTGTGTTGTTCAGCAGGCTATGGCTTATAGGATTCCTGGCACCCTTCTGCATGACCCAAGGGTACCTGGGCCCTGCCTGAGAATCACAGCATGAAGATGTGGTCCATAAAATATTATCATTAACATAAAAATAATGTATTTGGAAGAGGTGACATTAACCCCCATTAATGTGGATTCTCTTAACTGATTCCCTTTTTTCACCCAGCGAAGAACAGCCCCCTGACGGAGAATGGGACAGAAGACAGGAGGGTTTGATAGTGGGAAGAAGAAAACCAGCCAGAGCCACCAGAAGTGAACGTCTGGTCTGGCCAACCTGCCGGTCCAAGATGGCAGCAAATGGGAATAAACAGGATGGAGACATTGGGCGAGGCAGAAGAAACCAGAGCTGGCTAGAGAGGAGTCCTTTGCCAAGGCTGTTCAAGGTGGTGGGATAATGGTAGAAATGACTATGGATATATACATATATAAGGACTCAGCATCCATTCCTTCTCCAAACACTTGCTGAGTGCTTATTATTGTTATTATTAATAGATTATATTATTAAAAGTCAGAGAGACGATTAATATTCCCAGTTCAGTGAGGATGGCGACCCATAAAAGATCATTGCCATAAGCTCTCTGTGGGGCGCCTCTGTCCATAGAGCATGTGACTCTTTTTTTTTTTTTAAGATTTTTTTTTTTAAGTAATCTCAATGCCCAATGTGGGGCTCAAACTTACAACCCTGAGGTCCAGAGTCACACATTCTACCAACTGAGGCAGCCAGGCACTCCTAGAGCATTGGACTATTGATCTCAGGGTTGTGAGTTTAAGCCCCACGCTGGGGATAGAGTTTACTTTTTTAAAAAAATGTAAAAAAAAAAAAAAAAAAAAGGTAGTAGCAAAGGAGTGCTGTCCAGCCTGGAATGGAGAGTGTAGGGAAGGCTTCCTGGAGGAGGTGATGCCTGAACTGAATCTTAAAGGACAAGT